CATTTCCTCGTCAAATGTTACTTTCGTCGTTGGTTTGGGCGCGGTTGAGCGAGCAGGGAACAATACGCGTATACGGCATGGATTAAAGAAATTCCTTTAGTCATAGGTAAATAATTATACTTCGGGTTGGAAAAAGCTGAACTTATTTGTTTGGAGCACAACCATAACTGAGGATAAATTAGATCCCTATCTGAACATCACTTCGTAGTTTGATCACTGGTTTGTTCCTTTACACGGTTGGCCTACGTCGCTTTTCTGAGTTAGTCTCAACGGATGATTTTCGATTTGACTTGTGCGGACGCGAAACTTTTGTCTGACTTCGACGTTTCCTTCGCCATTTTGACTTAATCTCTGGCTGAGAGCCAGTTTACTCTTTATATCAGTAACGAAGCGCGAGTAATTATCTAAAGTTGTGTTTCGACTGCTAATTTAGTAACTTTCGGTACTAAGGAGTCTTTTGGTAAAAATACTACGTATCCAGTTCTTCAATACCAAATAATCGCCTGCAAGTCATTCTCCTCAACAGTACACGAGAGTTTGTTTTGATTTTACTTTTCAAACTTATAAACGGGTGAAAAAGGTTAGAAGCAAGGCTCGTTATAATTGCTAACACGTTTGCGTCATTTCTTACAAATGTAAATCCAAACATTTACTGACTGTTGGCCCTAACAGTGAATGTCTTTATTAGCAGCGCGGCAAGGGCGAGTCCTTGACCGCAGATCTCTGAATTGTAATTAAAATTACCCTTTGTTCAGGGATCGGTTTCCGGGGATGAAGTACGTTGTTAAATACATCCTGTTGTTAAATGTCAAGGTTACGTCTAGAACCCGCGGATGAACGTGCTCAATTACCTTTAGTTTAAAAAGGTGTACATGATTAAACGTGTAGATTCGGCCGATTTTGGAAGGTTACAAATTAAACGATAAAGTATTGGAAAGATGTTTGGAGAAGTATGGTAAAGAGAAGGTTGAGATTTTAGGTAATTCATCGACTAATCACCCGTATCCAGTAGCACTCAAATGTCACAATTGAAATTAAGAAGATATAAGGTTATTTTGACTGTACCAAATCAAACCCTTGATGATGGCTCGCAATTAAGGAAATTCATTGAATATCAAAAATAATTGCTTTGGGTAAACTTGTAGCATTTACGAGGCCGGTGTAATTGTTGTGCTTTTGAGAAATGTGAGTATGGCAGAGGAGGGGGGGGGGGTGGAGGGGGCGTATGGACCCCCCCTTTTTCGGAACGTAAAGTGCATTTATCTCTTTGTAAACGAGGAGAAAAACTTGTTTAAGAATTTTAACTTCGAAGATCTTCAACTATTAAGGTTATGATTTTCTCTTCGAAATCTAACAATAAATTTCATGCAAGTTCAGAAGTACGATATGAAAACAGAAGTCAAATAAACTTGGAATCCTCCATAAATCCATGAGGCTCTCCGCCTCTCCTTCGGTTTTTTTTGTGTTTCGTCGTAGTTGCAATTTTCTTAGTTGGTTTATCGATTCCAAAGATCACTGAGAAGAAGAGCGATATCTTTAGAGGGATAAGTTTGAAATTTTTCTATCAACCATGGACATTGGCGCCATAATTTTATTTCTCGTTTCTTCCATGACAGATGTTTTCAATTCCATTTAAAGAATGGTTGATGTTTTGTTATTTTCAAGCTTTTAAACTGGAACAGAGAAGCATTTGGAAAATAATCGATATTGTTTTGTTTATGAGGATTTCACAAGGTGAGCAACGTACATGTAGAGTATGATCGAAATTACCGCATGCAGCTAAAGCAGCGGGTCCAATGATCAATCTATTCATTCACTTTTTTACAATCGTGATTTAGTCTTCTAGAACATTGCTACAGATCGCCAGATGATTTAAACATTTTATCTGTGCTGTAGGGAGGTACTCCAACGGATTCATCGTTGTTACTAATTTAGGAGGACACTTGATATCGCAAACTTAGAGACGGTTTTCATTTCACAGGACTTAGGCTTACAGTTGGGTAAATAAATTTTCATCATAAAATTCCAATCTTTGAACCATATTGATGTTTTGTGGCCCGTCGTTGAACAGAAATGATAGCAAAAGTGAAATCTTACCCTGACATGAAAAATAAACTGTTTGTAAAGGACCCTTAAGATCGTCAGGATTGACAGCTGAATTACACTATCAAGTCTGATTCTCTTTTTGACTTTTTTTTTTATAAGCTTCTGTAAGGCACGTGTTAGGCGCTCGCCAAACAACTTTAACATGTGATGATCAAGCGCAATTCCGCAGAACTTATTACATAATGATCTGAGGAAAAGTACGGAGGGAAGAAGTATTATCTTGAAGTGTAATTTTCGCTAAAACCTTCCTTTTCTAACTGTGTTTTGAAAAGGAGGGCGTACTTAAGTTCTTCGTTATGGAAGATAGTGAAATTTCATGCCATTTCTGGCATTTCTGAGTCACAGTACCGGTGGTTTCTACAAAAGCCGGTTACCGGCGATCTACCTCCGCCTATAAGACCTTTTGCCGTCGTTTGTTTAGTCTGCGAGTAGGCTCCCGCGTTCCGGTTTTGCCTTACGGCCCCGCGCACTGCCGCCTATTGCACAATTGGCAGCCGTTCATTGAGAAAGTTACGGAAACCCCAGCACAGCACTGCAATCCGATGTTTGTCAGTTTACATATCTTACTCCGAGAGAGAGAACATAAAAAGGGAATTAGTTTTAATCATGGCTGAATTTCAGCACTCAGGTCGGTAACCTTTATAAAACCGTCGAATTTCTTTGACATGTTTATTGTCGTTGCTCGAAGTTCATATCACCGTATATCTTACTCAATTAGTTGTTGGAGGTTGTCCAGATTTTTAGCATATTTCTTAAACTTAGGGGTAATGCTGTTGATGGGGCAATGATAATGAATTGACATCTGATTGGACATCATAAAGTTTAATAAGAAAGTTCCCTCAACTACACAAAATGAACAAAGTTTAATCGATTATATCAGCGTTTATTTTGATTGCTGTCACAAGTGAGATGACTGAAACATTAGTACTGAACAATTTCTATTTTTGCTCTTCGTCTTTATTTCATAGGGCATTCAGCCAACCAATTTTCAATCGCTGGTAACTTGGAGAGAAACGCATCACGAGAGTGACAAACTAAGCGAGATAAACTGCTATAAAAAAAGAAGTTTCGTAGTGTCGAGTTAGGTCCAGTTGCTATCTTTCAGAATAGAACATCAAGACAACACACTTACAGAGTAATGGATTAACTGTGAACACTCAGAATTAATCTGCAAGCTTAAGCTGCAAGGTTCCATGTCGGCTGACCTGTTTGTTTTCGCTCTGATTAGGTCGACTATTAGGAGCTGCAATTGTTGATCAGCTCTTCTCAATGTCACATTGGATCGCCACACCACTTTCACTAGCTGGCTATGAATCAGAAATAACACCCTGTACTTCAATGCCGGGCTGTTCGGTTCTGCATAGGGCCAAAGACGGTTTTTTTTTTAAGTCTTTGTCTTTTTATTAATAGCATAAAGAAAAAAATCATTTAAGTAGATCATTAATAACTGTGACTTAAAATTGGATGATGATAAAAAAAGAAATGTAGTATAACTGCAGCAAATATGTTTTGACAAGATCCACGCGCTCGCCTTCTATAAGAGGATAACAACTCTAAGATAAGATTCTAGAATTTTTCGATGACGTTTGAAGCTCAATTTCAAAAAACTTTTTTTAGAAAATTGTCTTACCATTGTACATTGTCGGTTCGCAGTCAGCTTGCAGAGTTCATATCCTGATGTCTCCCAATAGGCCGGTTTTATCTGATAACAAAGATGTCTCTGGTGCTTGTATTATCTTTAACCAGGAAAGTTTCTCCGTAAATCCCTCTTTTTACAACTGACCAAGTGGTTATTCAGGTTGTGAGAAGTGTGAATTTAACTTAATGAACATAAATTGTTTCAGAAACCTTTAAAAAATTGTCAACCGGATAAGGAGCATGAAGACACCCTGTATTGATAACTTGATAGTGAATGGTCTTCATTTCCTGTGAAAGGTGTTGCTCTACACGTGATATGTGAATGATTCCATACTTAACGTCACAGTTTGTCAAATTGTGAATCACCTAAAAACAATTTTCCTGCTCGCATAAAAAGAATGAAAACAAACAGTTGGCTTGAATGTCCATAAAAGACAATATGGTTTAAGCGTCTAAAGTAAGTTATGTTCTGTGTACATAGGAAGTCTCTAAATGCTTTCCGAAGGGGTTGTTTGGTTCTACAAAGATTTCTTGTGGTAGGAAATGTTTATATTCTGCAGTATATAATCGCAAAACCTAATTTTTTGCTTTTGTGATAGGGATGGGTCAAATTTCAATTTTGTCGTTCTTGTTTTTACTGGTTTTAAGCTAGTGAAGCCTGTTTAGGCGAAATATACGAACTAATGAAATCGTCTCCTAAAAGTTTCGACATTCCGACTTTCTTAGTTCCTTTTGTCTTCAGTGTTCACTATAATCTGACTCTAAATGGTGACCAGAAGTTTTTTCACTTTTTCAGAGCTTGGTATCATTCATCGGCGCGGAAAACTCCCGTACGGGCCTGAAATTTTTTTCAGGTCCTACTTACAACTACTAGTTTCAGTAGTGTTCTTAGCTGCGAGGATCTTCTAATTTCATCCTGGCAAGCGTTTTGTTAAACTTTAAAATCAAATTGGAGATTTCAAACTTTTATGTCTACTTAACAATGATGGAAAATCACAGTGGCCTTTGGACAATTTTAATTGTTACCATGGCAACAACTGACATGAATGAGCTTGACTGTCAGTCAAATAGTCCAGGGTTGACATCCTGCGCTGTTTATACTTGGGCTATGTCAAGCACCTGTGTTACGTATCACGTCCAAATTAAACCCGGGTTATATCATCTTTGCTGACTACTTTAGTCACTACCCCAGTGCTCGCGCCACATTAACTTAAACACAGACGAATTCGTCACGGAATAGCCTTTGAAAACCCTTTCGCGTGTCTTGCTTTATGCTGCTGGTTAAGGTTGGTGTTCTTTCAAGCTATTTCTGGAAGTTCGATTGTGTACGAAGTGAGGCATTTGACATGATTTTACAAGACTTCGCATTTACTTGTTATACTTAGCAATATTTCCGTGCGGTTAACTTTTTAGTCGTGGTTAATTGGAACAAGAAAAGGTAATACTATGTAGTTCTTCGTTTTGGTTTCGGTGTTATAATAGGCGCACATGTACAAACGAACTTGGAATGTCCCTTCGGCTTCAGCCTTCCCCGCTTTTTCTGTTGAAGCTTCTACTATCACGGAATTTGCTTTCTTAATTCCGGCAATAATTTTGTAATCAAATTAAGTCGTATCAATCTTTAAAAAGGAAACTTGTTAATCTTCTATTTTCTGGATGATTAGATTCATCTCCGGATCGAACAGTATCGGCCAGTACATTGCATGTTGCCGCCGGCCGGCTCGAAATTTCTTGAGTGTAAACAGCATGGAAGGCATTTTAAGCATTTTGATCCCTCTGTTTCCGTCAGTTTGTAGGAACTCGTCACATTTGTAAGAAAAAACAAACAACGTACTTGAGTCTAATTCAAATCATGCTGAAACAGGGAACAGTTTGCCGGAAAAGCGTGGCGTCGCCATTCTCAAATTAGGAAGGAGTGTTTTTGTTGTGGGATATGTCAAAATTTTCCCTGTAACCGCACTGGAACATTTCCAGTGTTGTTACGTAAGGCCCTGGGGCAAACTACTGTGGACTTGATGAGTTATTGGATTCATTTTGTAATAAATCATGGACTTCCCGTGAGAGTTCTTTTTTCACATAGTTTCTTCACAGAGTGGAGCGATTTGATGGTAAATTCCCTTGTACCCAGCGGCCGAGGTGGGTTTTAACGGAAGAAATTTACTTTCATGTGTGTGTTGCATCTTGGACGGCGCCCTTTTTAGAGTTACCTACGATTATCTATGGGCCATATCGTCCCCTTTTCTTTCACAAACTATGACAATAAGCACAATAAAACGAGACGCGAAAGACGCCGAGGCAACATTTTTAAGATTTTGGCTTCCTTAATGCCACTGAGAGGCTTTGATGGTCTGTTAGAGCGTAATTACCCATCAGTTTGGCTTTCATCTTTCGTGCGAGCATACGGTGAGACCTAAACGGGAACTTCTGTTTTCGTCTGTTTTAGTGTGCTATTGATGATACATGCCAGGCAAATTGCCAATAGGTGTAACATGTCTTTTGTTGACTGACAAAACATCACTTTTCACCACTCGTTGCCCTTCAAACTTGAAAGATCGTAAAATAGAGCAGGAATAACTTGTTTTCATGTATGTTGGGATAGTTTAACACGTATTTCGCCAGCGTTCGTTTTTTTTTCTCACCCCAATGGTTGTAAAAATCCCGTCGTCGTACCTATGTGTTTGTTTTTATGTCTATGGCGTGCAAGCTAAGAACCGGAAATCTTAACTCGCTGACACAATTAGTGGCTATTAATTGCAAGTGAAGACATGAGGCTTCGATTACTAATAAGAAAATTCCTTTCCTAAATATATGTCTCGGTTTCTACTAAAACGCAAAATCCAGACTTAGGTATCCGCCCTCTCCTACCTCTCCCTGTCTACCCTTTTCCCCCCCTGAAATATAACATGGCCTTTCTTCGTCGTTTTCAGCATTCCCTTTTAAAAGCAAAAGCGTTGAACAAGTAAATTGAAAAAGACAAGAAAAACAACATCACAAGAAAGCAAAAAAATAATCAAGCCAAACGCGTGCAAAACTAGAGGTCAGAATGCTTTTCCAACGCTTGGTTTAGCCGTCGTCTTGCCACCAACGTTTTTTGTTCTTTTTCATTCGGTGGAGATGTCGTAAAAGAGCTGTAAAACTGCCAAAATATATTTTTGTATTTGTCCATCTTAGAAAGTCGAAATATAAATCAATATTCAGTTGTTTAAGGGATTTAAGATTTCCCTAGTTCATTCGATTCTTTAATTTTCTATTTTATATTTTCTTTTCAAACCCATGTCAACATAGTAATTTTTGTTCCCACATCTATTTAGAAGTATCGATTTGAATGCTCTATTATTTTAGTCTGAGACTGACTAAATCTATTCATTTAATTCGTGTTACGATTCCGTGTAGCATAATAGAAGGTAAAAGTGATTCCCTTTAATTTCATTTGACTCCTGATTTTCGAGTACAGTCAAAGATTTTATCATAGTGGTTTAAGTTAAAAAACGAGCAATTTTCAATGGAAAGCTATTTCCCTGTGGTATAGTTGACGTGGTGGGCGCGAACCACTTGATTTATTGGGTACTGTTTTGACCTGTGTTGAGTAAAATTTCCTTTCCTCCCTCCATACATGAATACCAAAGCAAACGAAAATCTTTCGTTAATACGGTGAAATTTTTATGGAAAGTTGACGCCGGAGAGAATTACATAAATTGTATTAGTGTGCACAATCATGCGATTAGCTAGTACGGGCAAGGAATGTATTTGAGTGTAAAGAGGAGTAATGAACTAAATAAAATTAAAGGAGTGTATCGCATTTCTTGAATTAGCTGGTCTGCAAACCAAACTAGTCAAAGATATCACCACATATGTGAGACTTTGTATTATCTATTTGTTAATCTAGTTTCATGAATTAGTGGATGTTAAAACGTACACAGATTGAAAATGCTCGTTTACAGACAGGAAGCTTGAATTGTGGGTACAGAAAGAAAGCACCAGGTCATGAAACATTCCAAAATGCTGTAATTAAAAACATATCAGTTAATTTTGCATCAAATTTCTCAAATATCAAATCTTTCCTATACGTTTAGAGTTTAAAATTTGCCATGAAATAATTTTTAAGGAGCTTTCGCGTGGCTTTTGGCAAGTCAGGCATTTGTTTCAAATATGCCTGTGAAATCCACCGGCCGTCAAGTTACTAATCAGAGTGAAATCATTGATTTCAATAATTCTCGTAACAGCTTCCTGTGTTAAATGCAGGTCAATGGGATTAATTTTAGGGTGGAAAATCGTTATTACATTGTTCCGCTGGTATTAATATTACAAATATTATTGTCTAGTCTTATAAGACAATTGTCTATTGAGGGATCGAGACAAAATCTGACAGGCAAGCACCACAACCATATTAATGGGGCGAATAGTTTCACGGAACGGCGCATCAGCTGGAGCTCGATTATAATCAATTACGCTCTGAATTCCGGAGTCTGTTGGATCGCATTGTTAAGTCGGCGTTCATCGAAATTTTGCAATTACGTGGGATCGAGTGATCGGGCCTAAAAACAGCCATCAAACTACTCCCCTCCATTCGTGACTAATGGTGACTTTTTGCAAGAAAACACTTTAATTTGGGTTTTTCAATTGAATGCTTCAAAATCAACACGAATGAACGGACCAAACGGATGATCAACCAGAGGAAAATTAAAATAGCGCATATGAAGCTGAGTTAAGTCAAATAAAAACAGCATAATGATCTAAACGCCCTTTTGTTGACTGCCAGTTCTATTGCTCATTGCTCAAAATGTTGTGTCCCGCATTACGTCCGCTTCCCTCATTTCACCATATGCTGCTTTCAGCTAACTCAGTCTTATCTTTGGCGTACAGCCAAACAAAGCCACCTAACAGACCTCGCATTAGTTTGATGGTTGTCTTTTATGAGACACACCATCTCCCGTCGCGAGTGCGGAATAGCTTCTGTCGATTCCTGATGGCAACTCGAATGACTTATAACCTTGGTGATTGTCTCGCTGCCTGCCGAGTCACCACCTTATGTTACCTATTAAAACAAGAAAAAGTTATCTCGGGCAAGCAGAATATATTCAAAATATTTTTGTTATCTTTCAGATCAAAGAATATATCGCTGAAAATGAAAGAAACGATGATTAAGCTCATTTCACTCTTAGTGGTTTTTTCAAGAGTATCATCAGGTACGCACCTCTCTTCCCTCTCTCTAGTTCGTTAAAATGCTTCGCTTCTTGTTTAATTTTACGCTCAAAACCACGAGTGCGCTGTGGCTCAATTTGCTCTTTGAAACGTTTTTTTATCTTATTGTTCTTTCATATCAAGCAGAGATATGCGATTCTCCCCTCAGCATTTTAATCCCAGACAGTCAATGGAGTGCCTCTTCTACAATAAACCACACCTTATTCGGTGCTTATCACGGACGAATGAACAATTCTCCGGAAACTGTAGGCTGGTGTTCGTCAACTGCTAAAGAAGAAAAAGCATTTATAGAGGTTAGGGCTGAATTTTTTCTGTCGGTTTTTTTACGGGGATTCTTTACTAAAAAGAAAATAGAATGCGCAAGATTAACAGAAATGTTGCCTCGTTTGCCTGTTTTAGCTGTAGTGCAATGGCTTGACGAGAGCTTGAAAAAAGTTTACGCGTTCATGCAGTTTTGCAAAGTGTCATCCTCTAGGCGTAAATAAGATGCTTTTAGAATAACAGCAAGCTAAATAAATGAAACAAGAAATGTAAGAGGAAGTTAAAATAGACTGTTCTGCTAATGCTTTCAGGTTGACTTGGGTAGGAACATGCTCGTCAGTGCCCTGTCTACTGTAGGAGTGTTGGTGAAAAACGACTCTACTGGGAACTCTACATTCATGTACGTGTCACAGTATTTCCTAGCCTATAAACGTGATGGAGACTTGAATTGGAGGCGGTACCATAGAAACGATGTATCTGTCACAGTAAGTTGCGAGTCTCTTAACACTCGCTTCAACGTAGAAATGATTTGACTTTACTTTATCCGTTGGTCGATGATTCTTTACTTCAATCTGCTTCGTGTTGATTCTCATTACAGCTAATTAAAATCAATGACTCCAGAGTCCACAAACACCACCTACTGACCCCGCGGATCGCCCGCCGTGTTCGGCTTGTGTTGGACCAAGGAATTGGAGACAGATGGTGCCTGAAGATGGAAATACATGGCTGTTCTTGGACTAAACATGGTACACCACATACTTCCTTTTAAGAACTGTTATTCAAAGAGCTATTCCAAACCAAAGGATACTGATAATTTGGCATCTTGCTCTAAAAACGACTAAGTAACTCCCTTGAGAAAAGCCTCAATTTAGGAGACGCTTTCCCGCTAGTGCCATTTAGGATCCCCTAGCTTTGCAAAGCTGTCAAGCACGACAAATAGCTCGTTGAATCTCATTAAATTTCTGAGCCCTTTACATAGAAAACAAAACCAAAGGAAACGAAACAAACACAAACATACAACAACAAAAAGTGTCTACATTAATGTTGTTTCAGTCAACATCACCATAATTTTTAAAAAGTTTTAGTTTCCTTTCAGATGGCTTGGTTTCGTACCGCATCTCCCAGGGAAATATCCGACAGAATCTACCCGGATGGAATTCTTTACGAGATAACGGCTACGATGGTACGAGGCTCGCTTTTGGGAAGAAGATAGGCGTACTTTACCGGGGACTGGGTCAGTTAACAGACGGAGTGATTGGTCGTAATGCTAAATGGAATGACACTGGTAACCCAATCTGGATTGACTGGATTGGCTGGCAAGATTCCAAAACCTCTGACCCAACTGTCACATTTGAATTCTCATCCTTAAGAAAGTTCTCTAGCATCCGTTTTCACGTGCTTAATCTTCCGAGTCACCATGAAAAGATGCTCTTCAGCAAAGTTGTGCTTTCGTTCTCTCGAGATGGCGAGTATTTTGCTTGGAAGACCATATATGAACCGAGTATGGCTAAAAGATCAACACTGAGAAACAAAGCTGTTTGGATTGAGGTTAACCTAGATGGAAACATTGGAAAACATGTCACATGCGAATTTGTTTATTACGGATGGTGGGTGTTGATCAGTGAAGTGGAATTCAAATCAGGTACTTTCTTGGTTTAGTGGTTTTCATGTGCATCTAAGTTCCCCCAACTCATTTTTTTTCTCTTAAAAGCTCTGCAATATTTGGTAGATTGGGTCTTTTTTAAGCTTCACATTGCTGTATGCCCTTTAAGAGAGTCTTTTTTTTCATGGTTCAATTTTAGTTTTCGTCTCTTACAATCGTTTCGGCTGAGTGATAAATTATGAGATCGCGTATTTTTGGAGGAGGGAAAAATCAGCGCATCACAAATATATTTTTTATGTTCTTGGACTGAAGCTTAATGAAACTGACCAAGGCTCAGCCTTGGCCCACTCTGTTATCGAGTAGTACTGCTCAGAAAACTCTGTCATCTGTAATTAAGTCCTTAATGCAATTTTCTTCTCTTTTCTCCACCCTATGTAACGCTTTTCTTATTTCCTATTTGTTTTCGGAAGAAGTATCCATCGATCATATTCCTGAACAAAACATTGTGCCTGTAATAACAACAACAGCCAACACTGTCGACAACGGAATCAATACGACAGACAAGACTGTAGTGGAGGGTAAGTCGGGCTATGTTCTCTTAACCCCTTAACTCCCATGAGTGACCAAGACAGGATTTCTTCTCAAGATATCAATACATTATCAACCAGATAAGTGAATAGAATAAAGAAAAATGTCAATTTGGGGATAATTAGTTGATCCAATACTAAATTCTCTGAACGAACATTGTGAGAATTGTATGGTTGACAGTAAGGAGAATGACAATTTTAAACAGTCTCAAAAATAGTTTTGCTTTAATAATTGTCCCGTCATTAAGAGTTGATAAGTGAACAAAAAAGATTTTTTGTTTCACAAACAAAAGGACTATTTTCGTTTACATGTCTCTCTTTTTAAAAGACGTCTTCAAGCCTTTCAAATTTCTTTTTAATCATGTGGTATATTAAAAATGATTCGAGGACAATAATAGCACCAAAAACGTTGAGCAAGTCTTTTTTACACATTTCTTAAAATTAAGGGTGTTTAGAAAGATGCAACACTTTGTTCTGAAATGGAACATAATCTCATCAAGTCAACTGATCAATCTTTCACTGAATTCTCTCGTGCACAGAGTCGAGTTTTGATGAGCCTTCGGACGACTCTCGGGACACCGTGTTGATAGGCTGCTTGGCTGCTGCAGGAGTAATAGGAGTATTGCTATTGTGTGTCCTCGCCGTGCTGATGTGGAGGCGAAGAAGTCGACGCACGCGAGCCGCTGAACAGGATTTAAACAGCAGAGCAATCAGAATCATCAACCCCGGCAAGAAAAACTCACTAAACAGAAGGAACGATCCTGGTGCGCAGGAAATTCGCTTTGAGAGACTAAAGATGCTGGGGAAGGGAATGGACGAAGACGAAGATGATGAAGTGGAGGAAATGGACTTAATGTTGGAGAAATGTAATTTGAATAACGCCAGGCTACTGATGGGTAAGTGTTATCAACCATACTGTTTTAAAAGATGATATTGATTAAAATAAAAAGGCAACAGATATCCCATGTGTCATCAAGTGAAGCCCAATGATGATTGAAACCTATTTAGATTTTTTTTTTCAGTCTTCTACTGGGCTGGGCTATTTCAACACTTATAAGTGCGCCTATGATCCACAACTCTATCGCCATACCTGATGTGTAATAGAAAATCAAATCTCGAGGTTAGCTGCAAAAACACTGACTTTCAAACTCCACGTCCCATGTGTTTTAATTTCAGTAACACGAGAGTTGACTTGTTCTTGGTTAGTTTCTATAAAAAATATCTTTCACCTTTCAGGTGACCAAGATACCTCAAGGAATCTCCGTCCTCAATCCAGGGAAATTTCCCTGGAGGAAGAAAAGGCTGAAGTTCTTGCAGAAATGAGGAAAGTTAGCGAAAGTAGCGATGAATGAATGCAGGTACACATCGTTCTACGATCCCTGTAGCATTCCTAACACCAAACTTCTCCGCATTGAATAAAATGAAACAAACTGACAAATGCATATAAAAATGGTGAATATGCATCAGAAACCATATCATTTTTAGCTCCGCCATTAAAAGTATATTTGCATCATATTAATTGCTACTTTTGGAGTTTGCAACGGATTTCCTTACCTTCGGTAAATTTCCCTCCAATGAGCCGAAACTTCGACTAAGGAGGACGCCATTTTGAATATTGCTTAGCAACCTGGTCGCTAATCATTGACCTAAATGATAAGGCATGGTGAAATTGAACTGTTTGACTTCACTCTGGAGCGTCGGATAACTGAGAATTTAGAGGTTCATACTAAAGCAGCAACTGTACTCCTATTATTTGAATGAATTTCAAGAAGTCATGATAGTGCGTTCAGGTTACTAAGTCGTTTCCAAAATAGCGGTGTCCGTAAGGAAATTATTAGCACACGTGAAGGCAATTTTTTGAAATGGAAGGTCTCTCTTATGGATCTCAAATGCTGTAGTGTGTCTATTTTATATGCTATATTGAATGGCGGAAATAAATTTAAATGGTTTTTGCCGGGAGCATACTTCTCCAGTTAACCAAGGCTCATGTAAATTTCCATGCGATCAAAGAGCTCAACCCAGGTGATAAATTTAAAGTGATTCTAAGAAAATAGAAATTTATCTGAAGTATGCTTCTGGATTTCTTTTATTTTATAGAATCAACAGTATTCTGAGGAATTGTCAAGTACGATGATGGCTATTTATGTTAATTGAAGCAAATACTGAATTATTTAGATGTAGCTGTTAGAGATGTTAACTTTGCTAAAATGTTTCTTGTTGCCCTTGTTACCATAACTTACTTTTCTATTGCGCCTATTCCATATTCTTTATGTGCAGAGATACTCCACAATATCTGTATTTTAATCACCTTATCAGAAGCCACACTAGCTAAATACTAACAGAAAGTAGAGTTTGCATTCAAAACGAGTTTTAATTGAGCTTCCAACATAATGTACAATGAAAAATTAGATGCCTGAAACTTTAGGACTTCAATAAGTTTTCCATTATTTTGACTCCGGTTTGTTTACGAACGAGTTTTCGTTTTGATGTCAAGGGTCCCAGTCTCCAAGCGGTGACCTGATTCTAATCACGGCCGTTGGTGTGAAGCAACGGAATCATACGGAACCGCTCTGTCAATGCCCCTTGGGCTGTTACACAAAGTTTGCTTATTTCTATTTCCCGAAACTTTAGCACAGTGCCGCTAAATGTTTCATTATTCACAACACAAAAAGTTACAACTGATATTAAATATTTATTGGATTTCTCATTCCTACCTTGTAAAGAGCACCGGTTTACCTACTAACTTCTTTGGAATCTTGACACCGAAACATACTCTTGAAATTCAGTTAAACTTAACCTAAATGTTTCCAAGTTATCCAAATGGTCTTATTTCCATTACAAAAAAATACAGTAATATTAACTAAGCATTGCGACTTAGAGTAATTAGTTTGCTTCGATTACAACATTAAAACTAAGGTGTATCCTTATATGATTCTAAAATCGTTGTACATAAATGCGTCAAAATAAGTTGTTTGTAGGATTACAAACATGAGGTAGTATTATTTCTTCTCCTTGTACAGTACGTAGGGGTTTTGATAATTAAAGATATATTTTCCACGAATGCAAATACTGCTTTTCAACGAAGTTTAACAAAGGCATATGCCTCCTTATGCTTATATACATATGAGTTAAGGCCGGGTGGCACTAGAGCGAATTCAAACATTTACTAAGTTTTCGCGTGCCAAAAATTGGCAAAAAAATTTTGCAATCGCATCAAACTGACCAAAATTTCATTGATTGGCACAAACGTCAATCACATATCCATCTCCCTCTTTTAAAAGGTAAAGAAAAATTCTCGCTCGAATTACTGGGTAAGACTGGATCGCCGTCAAATGATTTGTCTTCGCGGCTTTTGGGTTTTTGTGGAATTTTGCATTTCTTCCTTAGTTAAACAACGTAGCGTTTTTTGTTTGTTTGTTTGTTGTTTTTGTTGTTTTTGTTGTTTTTATTTTTGGTACATTATGAGCCATTTTTTGCGGCTAGAATCAGCTTTTAGACGTAGAAGACGAAGACCTCGCTTAATATAGAGTTCGCTTTTAAAACCGTCCTTGGTCTAGGTCTTTCCCGCGTTTGGCGGAATCATGATTCGAGATTGGAACCATGTATCGTACTTCGCTTTCTTTTTTCGTGCTGATCCTTTTGGTTGCAGTTTGCTCCTCTAGTGGTGGCTTTGATAATTCCCATGCCAGGAGAAGTACTTCGTTGCAGCCGATTGTTCTCCAAATTGCCGCTAGTGACCGGGCCCAGGGTACGAGTCATAGACATTCGAATGAAAACGTCGCTCAAATTCCTCTTTTCCCTCAAACGAAAACCGAGTTTCAGATGAACGAGGAAAAATAATTAATGAGTCCTGTGTAAAATGCCGAATTGAGCACCATGCCGAAAGGGCAAGACGCATAAATTATGGCTAATTATTATATAGATACTGGTGGAATACCAGGATTTTTCCTTTTACTGCAAAATCATGTCTTCATCGCGCTCAGTGAAGATCCTTTTTTTATCTTTCATGTGTGAGGATATTGGTGTCGCCATGGTTACTAACATGATTAGCCAATTACAAGAGAGCTTCCCGCTCAGGCGCGCAGTCGATTTTTTTGAAATTTCATCAGTAAAAATAAAATAAACAGAACATTACATGGCCGCTTGGCTTTCAGAGCGTGACTTGTTCGTTTTCTGTGCATGCCGAATTGAGTGCGAAACTCGAGGCAATCTTAACTTAAACATGTACGTTTCCTGTGTGCGCTGATTAGACTGTGCGCGCCGAATTGAGTACGCGACTTGAGGTCCAAACCAAGAATCTGAAGAAAAGGGTTCTTTGTTACTTGGAATACACTAAACAAGGACCGCGCAGCATGTTTTTGAGTAGGGGGGGGGGGCTATTTTTGGCTCCGTTATCTTTTTTAAATTATTTTTTGTCTAATTTATTTTTATTTTGCAAAAAGGTGGGGGGGAGGGAGGAGCTAAAGCCTCCCCCCAGCCCCTCCCTCTGCGCGGTCCCGCTAGAGAAGGTGTTCTTGTTCCAAACAAAGCTTTGGTTATTGTATTTTAATAAGGAAAAAGCGCTCGAAATCCTCTACAATATTCATCATATGACCAAAAACGAGAGCCGCTATCGCACTATCGCTATATTTTGAGTGATCAATTACTACTTTTCTAAATTTTTGTTGGTTGTTTCCGTCCAAAAACCAAGTGAGTCAACGAAATTGATTATGATTGAGCATTGCATAATTATTTACCGTACGAGGACAGTCCACCTAAATACTTACAAATTAACAACGGCTCCGAAATTATGGCTGAAATTATCAAGAAATTGTGCTCCGGTCCCTGAAGCTTAAGGTGATACATAGAAGACTCTACCATCTAGAAAGTCAGAGTTAAGAAGAAAACTTAAACAAGCAAGAAGATTGGGCCACTCCCTCGCCAGAAATCCCTAGATGAACAGGCTACCCTGTCGGGCCTTAAGCTTGCATGAGTAGATAAATATTTCTTGTTCTCTTAGGGAGAAAAGTTTGCGAGAATGTAATTTAGAAAGGCGCATTTATCTGGCTTGTTTTCGATCCCAACTTAATATGTGTAAAGAAAGTTACCAGTTTCAAACAGAACTCGGAGGAAAACAGACGGATGAAGTCCTTTCTACATCAACTGTGACTAAGGAAGATAAAACCGAGGACCTTGTGGTGGTGCCAGAAAAACTTTATGCGTAGGGTATAAGCTGATGAAGTCGTTTCCTCTTTCACAGCATTTGAGTTTTTTCAGTTTAGCAAATTAACGTCTTTCTAAAAACTAGTTGATTTGAATTGGTTTGCAATGAGATAAATTTAAAAAAGATTGACTTAAAGTTCGAAATTGTCTTTTTCTGTTCTTTCCTTTATGTGAATTGTTTTCATTCCTGGTAATATGTCTTATTTATACAATTCGTAGAGGAGCCTATCGACTCAATGTTCGTTAAGGGTCTACAGCACAATCACAAGAAAAAAACAAAGGTGTGGTGTTGATTGCAAATAGTACCCAAACTTAGTGTTCATTATATGTTGTTAACTTAAGAAGAATTAAACGCGATCACCTCTCATCACACAACGTTAAGAAACTTGCAGTATAAATATATTCAGTTATCCATGTTACTTAGGTTAAGTTAAATTAAATAAGTTAGTAGCTGTGTATCTAGCGATTAATAGTTTTTTCATGTTCTTTTAAAACGTTATTCTTTGCTTAAACACAACAAAATAGGGGCAGTGAATATGTGTGCGCCACATCGAGAAAAATCGAACGATAATTTTCTTTCTCAGATATATTTTGGAGGTGCTCGCCGAGCAAACGGTAACGTTCCTGTTCATGGAACGGTAAAACTGTGACTATAACACAGTTATGGCTAAATCGCTACGTGAATACAAGGCGTTTTAAATACCATTTACTTAAAAAAAATGGAGTGAACTACTTCCATCCATCTGTGGCAGTTAGAAGATGGAGAGGTAGATTCGAAGATCAGAGGAAATGAAGAGATTTGAAGAGATAACACGAAAAATAAGATATGATGGCGTCCCTTGCTTGGCGATGGTACTTCTGAAGATATGGACGCGGTGATACTTGCAAGAAAGCAGAAAATTAATATCAGGGATTATTAAAGAGCGTGCACTCTTCTGGCACCCTGATAAGTTCTTTTCTCGTTTTGACAAAAATATGCGAAGAGGATCGCCCGTAAATGACTGACGGGATCCTCATTATTTCTAAACAAATCAAGTCAGTTCCAGAAGGGGAACGATATGAATTGCTGTTGCGTTGAAAAGTCATCAGAATCCTGATGTCGTACGATATAAAAGACCTTGTTGTTCTTCTCGTTCTGTTAAAGAAATAGTCGCTACCTAAATTTAAACAGCGCCACTTGAGTATTTTTTTAACAGGGTAAGAATTAGGAACCCGTAAAAAACTCGAAATCGTTCGTGAGTTTAATTTTTAGTCTCGCAAGTAATTTCTTTATTGGCTCTCACATTCTTTACCGATTGAACCATTTTCAACTTTGGAGAATTTTTTCTGTCGATTCGTTGTCTTGCTTCTCAACACATTTTTCTCGCGGGTTTTTCCTTTGCCTAATTGTGTCGCCTTTCTCAACGCTCTACTGAGCGATCGTGATAGAAAAACGGCTCTGCCACTATATGGGCTATAATCTCGCATTTGATATTGGGAGGAATTCCTCTACTTTTAGCGAATTTATAGGGTATTTAGATTTGACCGATTTTCGTCAAATTTCCCCCAAAACATTCCAGGAACAAGGACAAACGAAAGTCTGTCGGGAAATTCGAAATATTTGATATTCGAGATATTTGTCCCGTGGCGTCCATTTATGTAACACGCCTCGCATATTTTAGCTACTCCAACTTTAGATGCCGATATCTAGACAACTAATCAGAATATCGAAAACTGCGTGACACACTTAAGTTGATTGACGTCTTGTGAATAAGACTGTGCAGGTATTTTGCTTGTGCTGCGGCATGCAATACCCGATAGATTCATTAGAAGAACCCTCAGTCGTTTCACGCCTTATAGGCTCCTAACACTTCCTAAAAGAAAAACTCGCTCAAATTATATTTTCATCATAAACTGCATTTATTAAGCTTTCTTCTGGTGTATAGTTTGCAAGGATTTCAGAGACACTAGGGCGCGTATGAACTTTTTCCCGAAGGACACCCCCCAACGTGGGACTGGTAACTAGCGTCTCGACAACTTGAGCGAAATTCAACATCTGAGTTGGTTTTAAACTGACTTTAGCTTGGTTGTGAAGTACAAAAAAAGAAGGTCCGTTCTTGGAGCTCCTCCATGTTACACTGACATCCTTGCAATAGTAGTTATACAAAGATATATATGTGTAGATCATGTAGGCCATTTACAAGTAATGACATGAAACAAAAGTGATAGAATGATGGTGTGTCACCTTCAGAAAGATAAGAAAACCTTCATGTTCAGATGTTGATCAGAAGTAGAGATCTTGTGATGATGCATTTCACGGCTGGCCACAACATCAAGGGAGAGCAGAAATCTATTTTTTTTTAAGTTTTTGGTAAACTATTGCCCTGTTCAAGAGCAAGGGAAAATTTTAGCGATTAGTTGATATTAAAATCCATCAGGATAAACGTAAGAACAAATCTGACAATCATAGACCTCATTTCATTCTTGTGACAAAATCTTCCTCTCTGGTTTATGTCAGGCGAGCTCTTAATTTTACTTCTCATGGATGAGCTTCTCTACAGTTAAACTAATTTCGACATATCTCTGCTCAGAATGTTTTTTCATTTTAACAAAAAGGCATTGGCTTCTATTATTACAGTAATATGGACCATTTACGTGAGCACTTATGTTCAATTTCACCTTTCAATATAATATGACAATATTCATCTTCTGTTTAAATAAAACTCGGGCTACCTCTAAGTAGAAGAACACCAGAGATGTACAACGAATATTGCAGAACAAATGACTACAAAACCTGTAATCTGTCTTTAAAATATCGACAATCTAAAACTGAAAGCTTAGGTAACAAGTGATCCGAGAAAGGT